TTATTTACTTTTTGTCTTCTTACTCTGTAAAGTGGCCTTGGATACCTTGAAAGGAGCTTTAAGAATCTAAGTTATTATTATTATTATTATTATTAAAAGTCACAAGTTTCCAAAGGAAATATTACTCAACTAAGGTATAGATCTGAATTCTCTGTCATCGTTTGCTTCTGTCTTTTATGTAAAATCTAGGAATGAAGCCGAGTCAGTGTGGGTGTTGTTTAATGCCTGGAGATGGACATTAAACAAATAGAGGCCTGTAATCTAACAGGATTATTTGTGGCTCCTTTGATGATGTGTTTGAAGGAACGGTGAATAATTGAAGGACTGGCAGAGATAGGTGGTTTACACAGCTGTCTGAGTCGAGCCAAACATCATGTAGGCAAATAGGAAGCACTTGTTGTCCTGTATCACCTGATCAAGACAAAAAGTTCCAAGTGTGTGTCTTCAGAGTGCTGCTTTTACTTGTTACAGAGCACGAGGAAGCACTTGATAGAGAGAGTATGGCTGACAACAGTGTACTAGATTTTTAGAAATCAATTAAATCAAATTACAAATGGCCTCTAATATAGAGCAACATGTTTTGAATATTATGTTTGTAACTCTTCTCTACATGATGTTAATCTTTATTAGCAGTGAGAAACCTTTTATCATAAGCGGAAATAACACTTCTATCAAATGTGTGTACGGAAAATACAAAAAAAGAGTGGATCATGTACAAGAGTTATTATTTCTTGATATCATCATTATTATTATTTCTATTGAAGTGTTCCTTGTTTGCTGCTGTGAGACTAGTGTTTGCATCTGGAGGAGCTCAAACTGTAACTGATCGTAGCTGCGGACTGACGGTGATGGATTTACTGTACAAACACAACAGTGGGAGAACCGAGGGGTTTATACATGCGTGTGTGGGGGGGATGGTGGACACATGAGAGAAATATCAGCTGCAGTTTCATTGGTTGATTGATACATAATAAGGAACTTACAGTACCGTGTGAACTGAACTGTAGAGACACATCCAAGAAAGATGCTAGTCCACAGAGCGGTTGTTGCTCCTTGATGAGTTCAGTGAGTTGTAGAAACATGAGGAAAGTTGTTCATTTGATGGTTGATAGAGAATCAATAACTGAGAGCAGCGGCTACAGAAAGGCTGGATATAAAAAAGCTTTAAAACCTTCAGGCTGTTCAACAAACTAACAGATGAAAAGTTTGTAATACCGTCACTTTATTTCTCTTTAGCTGTATTGTTTTACCCTGTTGTAGTGTCTGTTTGACCGCTGTTAAAATTTATACTGAGGGCTCAAAAGATAATGAAAGCTCAGTGTGCCATTACAAATAGAATTTCAATGACAAATAATATATGTTATTGTATTTAAGTAATTCAGCATCACTCTCAAAAAGAAACCCATGACATAAAAACACAATAAAATTGTTTTCGTATCAACCAGAGCATCACTGCTTGAGGTGGTGTTGGAGTTCAAATTGAATTATTAGTCAGTGACTTAGCTTGAAGGTCCAATATTTTGCTCTTATCCAGTGTTTTATTTTGAAGTGTTGATCCATAAGAAGATATATTTGTGGTTTTAAGAACCAAAAACCATCTCAGTGTAGTTTTACATCTCCTCTCTCAGGCTTCTCTCTGGAGCTGTAGCAACAACAGGTCGGTGAGCCAATCAGAAGAGGGACTTTTTTCTGATTGGCTGAATTTTTCTGAGTGATTAAATAAAAATATAGCAGATTTCAGGTAAACACTCAGAGAAACCAAATCCTTCAAGGGTGGATGGCGGGTCCAAGTGGGCGGGGCTTGGGGCATGACTGAGGGCGGTGACTGATTTGTTGTGACATCACAAAGTTACAGAAGTCCTGATGGTTAGTTCCAAGGCTCAGTGTCTGAATACAGGCTGTGTGCATTTCTCTGTGGACTGAGCACTTTGATACTTTCACAGTATTAATATAGAACCTAGACCTGATCTATAATCAAACTACACATGGAAAATTCACTTTATACAATATGGGACCTTTAATATTATATGTTTTTTTTAAACTGAAGAAATGTACTGCACTTTATCTGCACAGGGTAACAAAAACATTTCAATTGAAAAGAGAGTTGTGGGGTTGTGTAAACATACTAATATTGCATGGGTCAGTATGAGTCACGTGGGTTTGTTCAGGCCTGTGTGAAGTTACCTCTCCACATGGTCTGTCATGGTGTCTCCTTTGTGTTCAACCTCTATTTGGTTTATTTCTGTAACTTGACTGTGTTGATTCTTTTCATTGTACTGTATCTGCCTGTCTGTGTGCGTGCCTTTGTGAGTGTGTTTGAGCATGCCGGCTTGGGGGGGGGGGGTGTGTGTGTGTGTGTGTGTGTGTGTGTGTGTGTGTGTGTGTGTGTGTGTGTGTGTACATGATGTTGCATTCGGCGTGACCAGAACTCTGTGTGTTGTATGTGCTGTTGTGTGCGGAGGAGAGAGGCAGGGGCAACACGGCATGGTTCAGGCCAGGAATGTGCGATGTGGGTAGGCTGTACAATAGAGCCGGGCTCCCTGAGGGTGGTCAATGGGACGGGTGTCACCCCCCTGCACCCTCCCCGCTGGGTGATGACCACCACACAACGCTACAGCTGTCAGGTCCTCTTAACCACCGCTGTAAATACACATACATTATGAGAACAAAGACACATGTATGCATATGTACACACCAAGACATACGTGAGCACAGAGGCAAAATAAAGTGTCGAAGAAATTAGATGACCACACACACACACAACTGTCATGTGTTCATGCTTTAGCCGCACTCACCAACCTGTGGATCGTGTGTGTGCACCTACAGTATTTCTACATAAACATGTAAAAATTAGAAGCATCTGCAAAAACAATCAGAGCAGATTCCAGCATATTTGCTGTCCCTCTTAACTCATTGACCTCTCACACAGAAAGGATGCCGTTACATTTGGAGTGTGTATGTATGTGCAGACCTTGTGCATGCATGTGTGTGTGTGTGTGTGAGTGTGTGTGTGTGCGTGCGTGCGTGCGTGCGTGCGTGCGTGCATTCTGTCACATATGCCCACATGTGTTTACGGTGCTCATTTCACGTGACTGACGCTTTGAGCGCGGCTGACATTGCGATCAGTGTTGTGTCCACTCAACCTTGGACTTAGCTGGTGTGTTAGCTAGCAGGGGTCACAGGGGTCACTGAGGGTAAATAAGGGAATGCAGAGGGAGTTCAGCCGGTCTCTCAGAAACACAAGTTCAAATAGTTTGTGGTTTATTTTGATAAACAACTGCAGGTTACTAACTGCTTCAGTGCAGTTTTACGTTATCATGTCCGCCTTTAGTTTGTTTGTGACAGTTTTCGTTGTTGCCGTCAGCAGTTTGTTGAATTGAGGGTGACAGGTAGAGCTGGTTCTCGGAAGCCTGAGTTTGTGGCGTAACACCGGCCACCCCCATCACCTCCCAACCCACCCATCCACCATAACCCTCTCTCTTCCCTGGGGGTTGTGTGTGTTTCTGTGTTTTCCTAAGGATTACAGGAGCCTTATCCAGTTTCATAACAAGTACATACATGTACATATACACACACACACATACACACACACACACAAAGCTGGCTTTGTGCACCACACTGTCATCTGAAGACACACATGATGAGGGATAAGGCTGTGTAATTACATTCAGTCCTCACATATAGCTGTACAAATAAAGGTATTGTGTTGTGACTGTGATTGAGAATCATCATTCACAAAACTGTTTTTTGCTAATCCTCTGTAGTTCCTGTCACGTCTGTCAGACTTGTCATCAGCTCCCCCTAGTGAGCTCAGAGGAAACAGGCTGTTTAGGTGGAATTTGCAAATGGCATATTATCATTCAGGTCAAGCCTGTTGCATTATGGGATAGAGAGGTTTCATTTTTTGCTTGGATTCTCAAAGTTTAAAGTTTAAAGTATCTCTATTGTCCCTTACAGGGAAATTGGTTCGATCCCTGGCTCCTCCTGTACACGTGTCGGAGTGTCGCAAGATACTGAACCCCAAAATACCCCCTATGTACCAAATAGTGTATGAGTGAGTGTGTGTGATAGATATGCGCTGTGTAGAGACTAGAAAAGTGCTATACTGTCGATGCAGTCCATTTCTATTTGCATTAAAAGAGCAATTCTTCCTCAGAAAAAAGGAACTTTTTTGTTATGGAAGGAACATGAGATTCAAAACACAGTTTGTTGTCAAAACAATACAATACCAAAGTATTTATCTCTGCCCACCAGCTCAATGTCACCAGCTTTGATGCTGGTTAGTAAAGGACTAGGAAGAGTCTTTCTAAAGCTGATTATCGTGTCTTTAGTTCTGAGGTTTTGTCTACATTCATATATTTTGTCAAAGCTTTAAAGTAGGAGGAGACTGGAGTCACTTTTTACCAATATGTTTGTCATGTTTGCTCTCCCCTCACAGGACAGTAAAGATGCAGAGCAGTATTTCCCACTCACCGCCAACCATAGCTGTTGGGACTGGGTGAGGAGGAGAGACCACGAGAGAGAAGGAGAGGAGCGACTGAAGCAGAGAGAGAGAAGGAAAGTGCAGAGACAAAAGAAAGACAAGTAGGATTTTAACAGGTAAAAATGAGGCTTTATGGGAAAAATATGTTCAGTGTTGCCACAAACTTGAAAGCAGTCAGTGTCAAAGTATGTACCCTCTGTCTCTCCACAGATTTTGGCGTACCTCGATGTTACTGCTGGATCATCGGCCCTTCCAGTGAACCGTCAGCCGCCTTCTTTTTCAACAAACCTCCCCCTGCAACTTCCCACGTTGAGCCTGCACGGCAGGGGAGCCACAAGTGAATTTTCATGGCAGCGGCACTCTAGGGCTGCCATGGCAGCTGCTGCCGCTGATGCCTCACACCGTATTACCGCACTGACGCCGGAGGAAGAGGGACGACGGACTGCCGCCAAGCTGTTTGGGAGCGCCGCCCCGCTGCCACGGACAGAGAGAGAGAGAGAGCGAGAGAGGGGGAAAGAGAGAGAGAAGGAGAGGGAGGAGGAAGGAGGGGAGGTAGGGAGAGCAAGCGGGAACGAGTGTTTGGTGTGCGGGGCTCTGTTCGCCTCACAGGAGAAGCTGCGGGTCCACGCCTTGAGTCACACAGGAGAGAAACCCTTCCACTGCTCACAGCCGCACTGTCCCAAGGCCTTCAGCTCCAAATACAAACTCTTCAGGTAGAATTAATAACTTTCTTCAGTTCACATCCTTTTAAAAACAGTGTAACACAAGGTTTCTATAGCTTTCTCAGGATCCCACATGAGCCACTTCAGAAAGGATAAAATTCAAATTTTATTTAAAATGTGTGAACTTGAAAAAGTGGTATCTTGATCTTCAGAAAGCACTCACCGCACCCAGCCGTGCCCCAAGCCCCGCCCACCCGCACTCACCGTCCACCACTCAGATGCTTGAGGCAGCTGTTTTCAGTGAAAAAGCTGTGGTAAACCAAGTGTTCACTTCTCGTCCTGCATCAGACAGCAGACAGACACAGTTAGCAACAAGCTGGTGAAATCAGTGGAACATTTAGATTTCTCTTACGAGTTGGTGGAGACCAAAATTAGAGCTAAAAATAGAGTGAATTTAAGACTTACACTCATCAGGTGGCCAGGAACACAACTCCCAAATGAATAATAATGTTGTAGCTGCTTGACACATAGGCCGCTGTAGCTTGTTTGCTAATACATTTCCCATATCATTTTTACCATGTTATAAAATATAAATGTTGTGTTTACAGCTTGTTTGCTCCAAGTGGCCAGAAATTCGATCAGTGCAGGTTTCAATTACTGAGTCTCAAACTCATCAACATACAAGGATGTTTGGAATCTGGTGATTCACAGGAAGTGGTTCCAAAATCCATTTTGAGTCCTGACTGTAAACCACTGTGACTCATTTATGTATTTGGACGCAAAGGAATTCATGCCTCACTTTAACACGCACACTACTGTCAGACTGAATAACAAACCTGCAAATAACAAAAGGAATGCTATTCTCCTAAAACACCCGTACTATTCACAGTCTGTCTCTTTCTTGCAGGCATATGGCCACACACTCTCCACAGAAGACCCATCAGTGCTCATTCTGTGAGAAAATGTTCCACCGCAAAGACCACCTGAAAAACCACCTGCAGACCCATGACCCCAACAAGGAGGCCTTCAAGTGTGAAGAGTGTGGGAAGCACTACAACACCAAGCTGGGATATAAGCGCCATGTGGCCATGCACTCTGCCACGGCAGGGGATCTCACCTGTAAAGTGTGCATGCAGAGCTACGAGAGTACGCCTATCCTCCTGGAGCACCTCAAGAGCCACTCCGGGAAGTCTTCGGGTGGCACCAAGGAGAAAAAGCACCCGTGCGACCACTGTGACCGTCGCTTCTACACACGGAAGGATGTGAGGCGACACATGGTGGTCCACACGGGTCGGAAGGACTTCCTGTGCCAGTACTGTGCCCAGCGCTTCGGCAGGAAGGACCACCTGACACGCCACGTAAAGAAGAGCCACTCGCAGGAGCTGCTGAAGATCAAGACGGAGCCTCCGGATATGTTAGGTCTTTTAGCCTCGGGATCACCACCTTGCTCTGTGAAGGAGGAGCTCAGCCCCATGATGTGCGGCATGGGTCCCAACAAAGACCCCATGATGGGCAAACCGTTCCCCAGTGGGGCCCCTTTTCCAATGGGCATGTACAACCCCCACCATCTCCAGGCAATGTCTAATACTGGGGTGGGTCACCCACACCCGTCCCTAATGCCCAGTTCCTTGTCTGCAGCTATGGGCATGGGCTGTCACATGGAATCCCCCGGACCTCTTCACCCACACTCCCATCATCACCACCATCATCACCACCATCACCACCACCACCATTCCCCTCCACTGCCCCCCCACCACCAGCCTCCGGCTCCCCAGCAGCAGCACCAGCCCCAGCCAGCCCCCAAATACCAGCTGGGATCTACCTCATACCTGCTGGACAAGCCCTTGAAAGTGGAGATGGAAAGCTTCCTCATGGATCTGCAGAGCGGTTTGCCAGGCCCGGTTCCCTCTGCAGAGCCCCACGCTGCTGCCTCGCCCCCCAAGGACGGACTGGAGCCCACTTCGGGCCTGACGGATGAGCTTTGCGGGGATCCCCTCCTGTCCAAGAGCCCTGCGGTGATCGCGGAGTCTCTGTGTGCTGCTAACATGGACTTCTCCCACCTGCTGGGGTTCCTGCCCCTCAACCTGCCCCCCTACAGTGCCCCCATGAGCACGGGAGGGCTGGTGATGGGCTACACCTCATCTGCGACCTCCTCCTCTTCTTCCTCCTCTTCTTCCTCATCTCTGCACGCTGCCGAGCCCCACGCTGCAGCAGTCGCCGCGGCAGCAGCTGCCGTTGCCACAGCACCTCTTACCTCTTTGCAACCGCAACCTCAGGAGCAGCAGAGCTCCAGTGGGGGTCTGGGCCTCGGACCCCTGCACCCCCTCCCCCCGGTGTTCAGCTCCAGCCTTAGTACCACCACACTGCCTCGCTTCCACCAGGCCTTCCAGTGAGAGGCCCGGCCCTGGGCCCAGGCCTGCCCAGCCAAGATGGCCTCCACGCCAGCCTCAGCTCAGCTCAGCATGGATATTTTTCAGGCTGTGGTTCTTTACAGAGCCTGATAAAAAAAAGTTGGAAGATTAGAATAAATAAACACTTAGAAGCCTTAAATGAAAGCGCACAAAAGCTTTTGATTGAGCCTTAAAAGGAAGTTAAACCCCTTTGAGTAAAAAGGAAAAGGTGAGAAAAGAGGTTGAAGCAGCTTTTATTTGGGCTTTTTTTCCTATCCTATAGTTATAACGATGTATTAACCCTTCTTTTTTTTTTTATTTCCATTTACATCCCCTTTTATCCCCCTTCAATCCCCTATTTAGTAGTATAGAGGGCAGGATCAGTAGGCCAAAAGGCGTGGTACTGCATACTTTCTAATGTAATACTTTAAAAAAGAAAAAAAATCAAAGATAATTTTTAGTGAAGATTGTCTGTCTTGTTGTGACCCAGAAAAAAATATAGTTTGAAGTGGATATTTTGTTTTTACTTTATTTTTTTTTTTCCAAATGTAAGAACATGGTAGAACGTGTCTCATCTTGAGTTTTGAACCACCCACTCTAATAACCTAAATTGTCGTGATTAGTCTGGAGAGGAGAGAGTGAAGGAAAGGAACGAAGAGAGATAGACGTTGAGTCAACAAATGAACCTTAACTAAAAATCCTCTTAAACAGCAAGGCTAGAGCCACAAAAGTGACCCTGCCTCTAAAAAAAAGTGCTCTTTTATAAGAAAAAAAATTAGATGCAAGTCCCAATTATTTTCTTTTAACTGTAACTGATTTGCTCCTAGAGTCAGGTCAGTTTTAATGAAAATACTTCACTTAATAAAAAACAGAGACCTACGTCGCCCCTGTTTTCTGCCAAACACAAAGACCAGTCACATAAATGGCCACATATTATTTTTAAAGAAAAGAAAGAAAGAAATGTGAAAGTGTGTGAGTTGGTTGACAATTATGTATTATCATGCTGGTTTTTTTTTTTTTTTTTTACTTTTTTTTTTTTTAAACTTTTCCTCAAGAGAAGCACTTTTTTGTAGCAGAAGGCACTTCACCTGTAGGAATCTCCTCCCTCGTGACTTCTAGAGGTTTTCACTGCCTGAGACAGACGCTTCCCAATTCAGGGGCCGCATCCTCGGAGGGCCGAACCGAAATGAGACGATCTGGACGATTTTCGCTTTGCGTCACCAGCTGTGCCCGTCCTTAGCGTTGCGTCACAAAACGCGGCTTCTATCGCCTAGCAACCTTGACAACACATAACTTTTTAACTTGAAGTTGTAAGGCCTGTGGTTTTAACAGTTGGACCGTTAGCTGTTGAACTGAGCTGAAACCAGATACTTGCATTTAAAAATGTAATCCTCTTGCTCTGTTGGTGTTGTTTGCTTTCATTACCGGCGCGCAATGAATCTTGGGATAGGTTGGGCCACGAAGGATCCACCCATTGGATCCTTTGTTCCCCAGGAAAAGAGGGCTGCATTTCTCGGCCACATTTGAAGGATCCTTCGAAATGGGACAGCATGGTCGCGCTGCTGTGACGCAATCGGTCTTCCTCCGAAGGATGCGGCCCCTTAATTGGGACACAGCTAGAGACTTTCTCCACACTTGTAGTTCCTCAGAAGACCCAGAATCCACCTGGCTTCTCTTGTGAGGACTCTCCTCTTCCTTTCTAGCAGTTATCTTTAAAAGTTCCCACGATAATGATGTACTGCAGCTGTTATCTTGGCTGCCTGACATATCTAAAATATAGGCTCTATTTTTGGAATATAGTACAGACACATCTTTACGCATCATCATCATGGTAATGATGAACCCTGACATATGTGAATGGCAAAAAAAAAAACAAAAAAAAAAACAAGAATTACAGTGACAGATGAGGAAAAATGTGTTTAAGAATGTTATTGCAGTGTACGAAATATCTCAAAAATGAATATTATAATTGCTTTTATCTCAGTAAGGTGTATTTTAGATAGACGTATTAAAACTAAGTGATGATGTTTTTGATGTCTGGCAGGTTTACATTTGTGTGTATCTTGCATTTTTTGATCAAACAAATGGATGAAGTATTAGCTTTTTCCCTTAAGCTTTCTCTGTCATATCCAATCTTTACCTTTACATGTACTTGAGTTAGTATAGTGGAATCAGAACTGTGGATGGGAAATATCTATAGAAGGCTGTTTAGTGGCTTAATAATCACGTAGGATTTGAACTAGATAGATTGTGTCATAGGGGATGCTGACATGGATGGCCTATGAATTTACGACTGTCTTTATCCAATGGAGTATGTACAGTAACCCCTGCGCTGTGATGAAATCCCAGCCGGTTTCACTCCGAGCTCAGTGGTTTTGGATACCTTGGAGTATAGAGCCTTTCTAACCATTCACCACCAGCCTATAAAAACCTGAGCCCAAAGTTAACCTAAGCCTCAAAGTGAAATAGGTGCTCTTTATCTAATGTTCTGTCTGTGGCATGACCAACACACCTGGCATATCCATAACTTCACACGGGGCTGAGCTCCTACATCGTGCATCTGCGATAAGTTTGTTCGTACATGTCGTTCCAGTTGTAGAAGACCCGTTCAACTTTACCTTTAGCAGTCATCGTGCCATGAGTGAGCCCCGCCCACTATAAAATGTTGAGTAAAAAACGAACAAAGAAAAGTAAAAACAGGAAAAACACAGCACATAAAAAATAAAAATAAAATACATATTGCTGCTTTTAGCTACGGTTGCTAATGGACGACAACTGTAGACCACTAGAACATTTCAATTTTTTTTTTTTTTTTTTTTTTTTTTTTTTTTTTTTTTGCAAGATGGACAGCGAGCTGAAAACATGCACAAACAGAACCAACAAAGTGTTCATCAGCCCCCGGCCCCAGCCCCCACCTGTACTCCCACTCCTCTTCTCTCAGCTGCTTTTGTAGAGTCAAAGGAAAAGGGTCTGAAAATATGGCGATATCTGGAAGAACGCAGTCACTGAATTCCCGGGCTTTGACATTCAAAGCACAGGGGGACACATGACTGACTGCATGACTTGGGGTATTGCTTCTAGTCATATATTTGTTTTGTTTGTTGTCATATGATATATTATTTTCTGTTTGTATAAAACAGGACCTCGAAAAACAACACAACACATCACCTCATTTTTATTTGTTTTATTTTTCTTACCAAAACCTGGGGAGAAGAAACTACATTTTTGCACAATTGCTTGTTACAAAATACTACAAGTGTAATCCGATTTTTTTATACTGTAGGATATGAACAGCTGTTGGCACCTGTGTGTTAGACAGGTGAATATTCCCCTTGGAAAGCAGGAGCAGCTTAAAATTCAGAATCAGCGAGCGCTGATGTTGAAAAAGCTTCCCCACAGTCTGACTGTTTAATCACAACTTCATAACTAAAATCGTAGATTTTATATTCTGAGTTCTGAACTAATTTGAAACTTAATTTTCACTTATTAGTCTCCCCTGGAAGGTCATTATTTTGATGATGACTCTTGTAAAATGATCAAACTTTTCATTGATCCTAAACAAATTAGTTTTTGGCACCTTTCTGACATGATATATATAAAGAAAAAATTTAAAAAAAAAAACGTAAGATTCAAATTAGATCTTTATTATGAGTTTAAAGAGTTTAAGAAAAATCCTCCTGGCTTAAGCCAGATTTGTAGCAATCAAATTGAGCATTTATATTTTTGTAACAAATATTCATTTAGTCCTAAAAGAGTTACGAAAAAGCTTTTGGCATGTATTAAGTTTGTCCTCCCTGGGTTTCTGTGAGCTAATCTGAATTCTAGCACTTTCAACCTTTAAAAAAGAGTATTTTTTTCTTTTAAAATTTCAGCTTATATGTTCATATGTTTTTAATTTTGTATTGATCCTGTACATGTATGTGCCATTAGTTTGATGTGTAGACTTTATCAACCTTTGTGTATTTCTCTTCTCCAAAAGAATAACAGTATTTTTGATAGACTTTTCACTAATATCCTTCTACATAAAAGCCCTCTGCCCCTTCTCCTTTGAAACTTTTTTTTTGTTTTTGGGTAACCAGCTTTGCCTTCTTTCTCATAAATTTATCTAATCAAACTCTACAGCCAAGTGCTTGAAGAGAACAGCAACAACATATCTCTTACTCTGAGGCGGTGAGAAACAAGTGTTGTCAGGAGAGTGTCAAAGCCACAGCCCGACCACAACCTGCCAATGAACACAGTTGCAACAGAGACCCATCTGCAGGCCATTTTTAGACCGTGTAACTGAACAAAAATGAAGTCAGGAGTGACCCCAAAATAAAGCACTTAAAGCATACAGCCTGGTTGAACTGGTTGTCTCTGTCAACAGGAGCAATTTCCTGCTATAATCACTCATGTGTAAAAGATTTTTCATACAGTTTTTCATTGAGAAGTGAGTTAACATGGCTTTTAAGTAACGTTATGAAACACAAACTCATCAAGGAGTCCAAAAAAAAAAAAAAAATGTTTAGATTTTTTAAGACGGAAGTGAAAAGGTTGGTCAAGACATACCTGTAGCTGTGAAACACAGACAACAGATCTCAGGACTGTTGTGCAACCTAAGCTCATATTGGTAAAGTCTTTTCAGAGGTGTTTCCAGTGATTCACCCAGGACTGGGTCAGTCATCCTTAACAGTGGGTCAGGATTATGGCATATTAAGTCAAAATTAAAATGTACAGAGTCAAAATTATCACTCATTAAGATGAAATTGTGAAATACTTGAAAAATTATAAATCAAGATCATTAACTTGACTTTTAACATTAAAAACAAGGTTATGTCAAAATGATTTGATACTAAGTCAAAATTTGACTTGTTTTCTTATAATCCTGATTTACAAAGTCAAAATTTTAACTTAGTATCATAGTTCTCATTTATTCTTTGCACAAGTTTTCATCATTTTTTTCTCTTTCTGGCAGAAATCGTCTTCCATAGAAATAGCTGACATGACAATGCTGATACTGAATCAGTGCGACTCTGAAACACTTGGTATAAAATGGATCCTCCCCTGACCTCTGACAGTGATGTTGTTCTGTTCTTTGGCTTGGCTGTAGATCCATTACCTCGACCTGCACCTACTAGGGATGCACTTATCCTCACCTTTTCCTCTTTACTAGTAGGTGCAGAACACAAAAATTTTAAGGGAAATTTTTCATCAGTTTAAGCCTGAAAAAACTGATTTGATTTTAATAATGCTCTCTCTCTCTCCCTCTCTTTTTTTGCTTTTAGTAAGAAACTGGATACTGTCTGATGCAGGCAACATCCACATGTAGTTTTATATATTTCTAGCTTAATGTAAGTCTTGCATTCCAACCTCTTTGTGTATCTCGTTTAGTGACATAGCCCTTTATTTTTTATCACTTGCTATTACAGCCACCTCTGGAATAAAAAAGGTGAAAAAAGGTGAACGAAAATAGAATATTTGCATTCACTTACACTATTTTATATAGCATGGAGTTTATCAACTACAGGGAGAATTATATAAATGATGTGCTTTGGAGAAAGAAAGAAAATGAGAAGTCTTGCTTTTTTTGTTACATATCTCACATGCAATCAGTTGCTGCAATGTAAAAGTGACAGATTTGTATATTGGTTGATCCAAAGAGATGATGAACACAACAACAGAACTATTGACTTATTGTACAGTACAGTGTATCTTTGAGTTGTCATGTGTTATGTTGAAATGATTAAAAGACAAACCAGCGGTTTCATACCCTCTTTGCATTCTTTTTTTTTTTACTTCTAAGATTTTCTTCTTCTGCAAAATGTAAAATTCTTATACAAAAGAAAAGCAAAAAAGTAATTTAGTCAACATAATTTAAACTGTTGGCTGGCGTAAGACTTCATACATGGCCATAACTACCATGGTGGACACTGTGCTCATGTCCTCTGTATTTTTATGGAACTTTTCAATAGTTAAAATCTTTATTGTTTCAGGCTGATTGTTGGATACTAGTGGCCCATTTGAATATTATTCCAGGAAACATGGAGACGACTT